CATTAGGGGCAGATTGAGCATCGGGAACTGTAGGTGCAATTTCCACATCCATATTAGGTTTCGAGATAGGAGGGTTGATGTGTTCCTGCTGACCCATTGGTGGGGAAAACCCATGAGGGATGGGATCAATTAACACTCGACGCACAACCATGTCCAAACATTGCAGATGGCTCTTCATAGCCGATCTCACATAGTTCTTTCACTGATCCGCACACCCAATTGGGATCATTCGTCTGAGGATGTTGGGAGGAGAACCTAGGTGCAGTACACCCTCAACTGTAATGCCATCATCATCATCATCTTCAAGGCAATGTAGCTCCTCCCGAGCCCTTGCAACCATCTCACTAAATGAAGGCCTATCATTGAATAGCACAGGCACGCTTTGCATGTCAACAAACTCAACATATCCATAGCGATCGCATTCAACGGTGCCTCCATGATATATGGTCACTAGGTTGTCCATCTAGTTCAAACACATAACGAAACACATGTCCTTTAGTCCAAATTAGACAATAGATAGTACCTAACAAGTACTTTCTAACTACAAACTAAGTAAATAAGATAATAACTATGTATATATATACATTGTGAAAGGTCCTAATGGCTAGAGGGGGGTGAATAGCCTAATAAAAATTTCTACAACAACACTTAACAAAATGGTTAGACAATTATGAGGCGAAGCGAGAGTTGCGCTAGCCTACTCAAAATGCAAGCCACCTACCATAATTCTAGGTTAGATAGTATCTATTCACACAATAGCTATGAGACTATCCTATGTTAGTGTGCTCTCAAAGGCTAACTAAAGAGCCACACCAACCAAGCAAGCAAGCTCTCACAACTAGCTACACTAAAGAGCTTGACAACTAGTTTACGGTAATGTAAAGCAAGTGATCAAGAAAGTTATACCGCCGTGTAGATGAAGGAACCAATCAATCACAAAAGTGAATAACAATGAAGACCAATCACCTCGGAATCAATGATGAACACAATGATTTTTTACCGAGGTTCACTTGCTTGCCGGCAAGCTGGTCCTCGTTGTGGCGATTCACTCATTTGGAGGTTCACGCGCTAATTGGCTTCACACGCCAAACCCTCAATAGGGTGCCGCACAACCAACACAAGATGAGGATCACACAAGCCACGAGCAATCCACTAGAGTATCTTTTGGCGCTTCGTCGGGGAAAGGTCAAGAACCCCTCATAATCACCACGATCGGAGCCGGAGACAATCACCACCCTCCGCTCGACGATCCTCGCTGCTCCAAGCCGTCTAGGTGGCGGCAACCACCAAGAGTAACAAGCGAATCCCGCAGCGAAACACGAACACCAAGTGCCTCTAGATGCAAACACTCAAGCAATGCACTTGGATTCTCTCCCAATCTCACAAAGATGATGAATCAATGATGGAGATGAGTGGGAGAGCTTTGGCTAAGCTCACAAGGTTGCTATGTCAATGCAAATGGCCAAGAGAGTGAGCTTGAGCTGGCCATGGGGCTTAAATAGAAGCCCCCACGAAATAGAGCCGTTGTACCCCTTCACTGGGTAGAACGTGGGGTGACCGGACGCTCCGGTCATATTGACCGGACTCTGAACCCAGCGTCCGGTCGCCCGATGTCAGCCATGTGTCCCCAGCTTCAAATACAGTTCGTCAGATTTCAACGGTCATCTGTTGACCGGACGCGTCAGTTAGAAAGTGATCGGACGCTGGACCTCAGCGTCCGGTTGTTTCCAGTAAGGTTCCAAACGCAATTTTTCACGACCGGACGCGTCCGGTCATGCCCGACCGGACTCATCCAGCGTCCGGTCACTCAACGTCTCCTCTGTGTGCCCCACGTCAGCATACGTCAGCACTGACCGGACGCACCCTTCTAGCGTCCGGTCACAGAGCGACCCAGCGTCCGGTTGTTTGACCGACGCCAGCGTCTTCGCTGTTACACCTGACCGGACGCGCCGGTCCAACCGAGGCCAGCATCCGGTCACTCCCAGTGACCTCTGTATTTTCTGTCTAGGGCGTCGGTGGCACCGTCGGACTGTCCGCACTCTTTGGGCGGACACTCCGCCGGTGGAGTTTCCTACCCTTGCACCCAAACTTCACCACCCTTGATCAAATATGCCAACCACCAAGTGTATCACCTTGTGCATATGTGTCAGCATATTTTTACAAATATTTTCAAGGGTGTTAGCATTTCACTAGATCCTAAATGCATATGCAATGAGTTAGAGCATCTAGTGGCACTTTGATAACCGCATTCCGATACGAGTTTCACCCCTCCTAATAGTACGGCTATCGATCCTAAATGTGATCAGACTCACTAAGTGTCTTGATCACCTAAACAAAATAGCTCCTACAAATTTTATCTTTGCCTTGAGCTTTTTGTTTTTCTCTTTCTTGTTTCCAAGTCGAAGCACTTGATCATCACCATGCCATCATCATCATTATGCTATGATCTTCATTTGCTTCACCACTTGAAGTGTGCTACCTATCTCATGATCACTTGATAAACTAGATTAGCACTTATGGTTTTATCAATTCACCAAAACCAAACTAGAGCTTTCACATTGTACTCACAAAATAGCTATGTCTATGTACCTATGTATCTATGTTTTCATCTATCTATATATCTAACTATATCTATGTACCTATGTATCTATGTTTCTATCTATCTACATATCTAACTATATCTATGTACCTATGTATCTATGTTTCTATCTATCTACATATCTATCTCACTAGATCACTAACTAAATCAACTACTTGAGTCATCACATTAACTAGTAAATAACAAATAATTGAATTACCACATTACAATCAAAGCTAACTAAGCACCTACATTGCATATTCACAATTTTTACCTAGCGCTGCCCGAGCCTGTGAGGTCTCGGGGATGGCATGGCATGGGCGTGGCGATGGACGCCGAGGGTGGCCTGGCCAGGCGGCGGTGGCAGATGATCGCCGAGGCATGGGAGGCGGCATGCATGGGCGCGGCAAAGGGCGGCAGAAGGGCGCCGGGCGCAGGGCGAGGACGGCGCGGGCGGGGACGATAGAGAGAAAGAGAAAGAAAGAGAGAAAGGAACTTCGGGCCCGTACGTAAGAGGGCTTGGCGTCAGGATTGTTGGCGCCGAGCTTGGCGCCAAGATCCATGGCGTCGAGCTGGCTGCCATGTCAGCGTCCATGGCGCCAACGTGGCCCCGAGCTCGGCGCCAGCAACAATGGCGCCGAGCAGTGTAAGCTCGGCGCCAGAAACGCTGGCGCCGAGCTAAGGGTCCAGATTTTGAATTCACACATCCAGAGACATATTTATGATTTTTTTAAAAAGGACTAAAAAATAAAAAATTCGGCAGCCGAGCCCATGGAGCCCCCTCTTGGTCCCTCCGCCATGGGAGCACTGTTATTTGTAACTTACAAACACAGCCACCATCTTATTTGTTAACCAAGACATTAGATTGACCATAAAATCTGCAGTCCTAGTAGCAAATATGGCTTCGCTCTATGTTTCCGGAACTTATTTCCCAAACGAGAAACGAAAACAACATAAAACATTGTGTTTAAATGCAGGTTGTAACTCGCAGATATGAAGGGCAAGAACCAAACCGAGAGTCCATAACGCTTGCAGCAGCAGCATTTCTTCATCCTCGTCTTGCAATTTGATTCTATGCTATGCGTTATTGTGTAATTGATGAATGGATAGATGAAATCCAAAGAACACAACAGAACAAGTTCGTACTAGTTACCTCAATATGCATTATTAAAATGAAATATGTTCCTCGTTCTAAGAACGCCATTTAATTATAGTAGATACACGTTGAATCTCTTGAATAAACAATGCAAATGTATATACCTTTCCGTAACATGGTTTTTAAAAACACCCTCCTCCAATGGCTTTAACTTATCAACCTAACTTATCAGTCATGGTACAATATTTTTCTCTCACAACAAATCAGTGAACGGTATTTTTGAGCCAGGCTTTTCAGCGAAACCAACGGGGCCTCGTCAGGCAGAGCTTGACAAAAGCAAATAGGAGGGGCAGGTCTAGCTAAACTAAGCTATAATCACCATGAACAATGCTAAAATTACTATTTATTTATTAGTGGAGAATCAGTTAGATAAAGCAGGCCATAGCCCAGCTTGGTCTCAACTAAGCTCCATCTCTGTGTGGGAAAGACCGCACAAAAGAACCACTATTTATTTTAACATTACTATTTGATAGAGACTTTAATGTTGAGGACCAAAGTTCCAAAAAATATTGAGGACCTAGAATGAGATGCTAAGCATTCTGTGACTAGAATCTGGGTTGGACCGGAAAAATGGTCAAATCAAAATTTTAGGCCTGAGTTTGAGTTTGACCCAACGTAACGGCTGATTGTGTCGGATCGGGCTATTTCTCAAGTTTTTTTTTTCTATTTTAGGTCATGTATTTTGGGGCTAGGTCGTCCATGAGTCAAAAACATACCTCTGACCTAATCTGATGCATTAGCGATTTAGCGGGTCAGAGTTTTTCTAAGCGCATCGAGTGACCATAAAGCAGCATGGCATTTTAGGCTTCTTTGGAATGGAGGAAAGCTTTATTTTCTTTTTTTTTTCATAAAAACGAACATATTTCTATAAATTTTGTATGAGCTATCTTCTGTGATTAAAATCAAATATGCAGCCGGCCCGCCGCGAGAATCGAAAAATCTCACCAAAGGCATCGTGATAATACCATGATTCTCATTTCTCACCGCTCAACGCAGAAAAACCACAACTATGAACTTACCGGTCTACCGCCCATGTTTTTTATGCCGCGACCCGGAGGCCGCAGCTGCTCTACCGCACCGCGTGCCGCCGCACCACAGTCCCCACGCGTTTCAACGGACCCTGCTAGACAAGCAACCCGCCACCAGCGCCGTCGTCTACCTCGACTGCGGTAACCTTCTCCTGCTACTTTCCCGCGCGACCTCAACACAGGCAGCAGGATGCGATAGACCTGTTGGTATTAAACAGCAGTACAGCACGCGCCAACAATGAGCCATGTCAATGCCCCGAAATCCGCCGCTGCGCTCTACTCCTCCCTGCTCCTGCTCCAGAGCTGCATCGGCGCTAACGCGTTCCGGCAAGGCAAGTCCGTGCACCACCGGGCCATCATCACTTCTTCCGCCTCATCACCTCCGGACCTCCACCTGAGCACCAAGCTGGTCATGTTCTACTCCCACTTCGGCGACGTCACGGCCGCACGCGCGGTGTTCGACGGGATGCCGCACCGGAGCGTCGTGTCCTGGACGGCCATGGTCTCCGGGTACGCCAAGAACAGCTGGCCCCAGGAGGCGCTGGAGCTGTTCGCGCTCATGCACCGGTCCGGCGCCAGGCCGAACCAGTTCACGTTCGGGAGCGCGGCGAGGGCGTGCGCGGGCGCCCGCTGCGCGAGGAGCGGGGAGCAGGTGCACGCGTGCGCGGCCAAAGGGAGGCACGCGGGCGACATGTTTGTGCAGAGCGCGCTCATGGACATGCACCTGAGGTGCGGGTCAGTGGGGGACGCGATGCGACTGTTTGCGGAGATGGAGAGGAAAGACTTGGTGTCCTGGAATGCCCTGATGAGGGGGTTTGTGGAGCGGGAGCATTGTAGTGATGCGCTTGGATTGTTTGCTTCAATGCTGAGAGATGGTATGATCATGAATTCTTTTGTCCCTTCGCTGTCTGTATGCAACTCAATCCACACTTACTCTTGTACCTTAGCGTATCATTACATCAAATTATATCTAGAAAAAAGAAATGGCTATACATCAAATTAGTACATCTAAGTTCATCTAAATAGAAAGTAATCCTTGTACCCAAACAAAACATTGTTTCTCTCACATAATAGACAAAATACAATCACTGATACTGCTGTGCTCAATATTCTTGACTTGTATACAGCAATCCTTTTCAGTGACTGCATGCCCTTTTTATTTTATTTTTCTTATAGCAGCACAGCGCTGTGATTTTTTTACACCAATTCAATATGATATATCCTCTTTTTTCATTGGGTTGCCAATCTCTCACATCAATAACTTAACAGGGATGCTACCTGACCATTTCACATTTGGAAGTGCTCTAAAGGCATGTGGAGCAATCAGTGTGCTTTTCAATGTGGAGCTAATTCACACTTGCATCATCAAGCTTGGTTATTGGGACGAAAAGGTTGCTACTGCATCACTTATTGATTCTTATGCAAAATGTCGGAGTTTAAGCAGTGCGAGGGTGATATATGATTCCATGTGTGAACCAGACCTTGTGTCATCTACGGCATTGATCAGTGGGTACTCCATGGATAGGAACTACAGTGATGATGCAATGAAGCTCTTCTGTAAGATTCATCGAAAGGGCTTAAGAATTGATGGTATTCTGTTAAGCTCCTTGCTTGGTGTTTGTGCTAATGTAGCATCAGTAAAATTCGGGACACAAATTCATGCTTATATGCACAAGAAGCAACCAATGGGTGATTTGGCACTGGACAATGCTCTTGTTGACATGTATGCAAAGTCAGGAGAATATTTGGATTCCAGACGCGCTTTTGATGAAATGCCCAACCGAAATGTGATTTCGTGGACTTCACTTATTACTGCCTGTGCACAACATGGCTTTGGAGAAGATGCTGTGACCCTTTTTGCTAGGATGGAGGAGGATGGTGTGAAGCCAAATGATGTGACATTCCTTTCTCTTCTATCAGCATGCAGCCATTCTGGTATGATGAACAAAGGGATGGAATATTTCACTTCTATGATGAGCAAGTATGATATTGATCCAAGAGCCAAGCATTACAGCTCTGCTATTGACCTTCTTGCTCGTGGTGGTCAGTTAGAAGATGCATGGATGCTTCTTCAAAAGACGAATACTGAGTGCAAGTCATCAATGTATGGTGCAATGCTTGGAGCTTGCAAGGTACATGGCAACATGCCTCTTGGAGAAACTGCAGCTAAGAATCTTTTCAGTATAGATCCTGATAGTTCTGTAAACTATGCTGTGCTTGCAAACATGTATGCAGAATCATGTTTATGGGAGGATGCTCAGAGAACAAGAAAATTATTGGCGGAGACATCCAAAGGAAAAGAAGTTGGTTTCAGTGTCATATAAATTAGGTTATGGTCGATAGAGATATTTTCATCTTCAGAAAGTGAAAGGGGATGGCTATTTGGCTCTAAAAATGATCAAGATGAATCTGAAACTCTGATCTTCTTTTGACTATGTTCCAAGACCCCAGATGGACTGTAGATCCAACATACATGACAGCTGTTGAAACTCTGACCTTGTGAAGGCTTAGCCATTTCAATTAAAAGTAAGGAGCTTACAACTTTTCAGCAGACGCCATATTCGTCTATGGTAAGTGTATCATTTGTTTCATAGTACAATTGTTTTGTAGTTTGTTTATTATGCTTTCTTTGAGGTTTAGGCCCCTTTTGAATCTATACATTGCACCTCCATTTCAAACTATGAGTCGTTTTTATTTCAAATGCAAATTATAAAACTAAAATAAACCCTCTCTATTCCAAATTATAAGTCATTCTGGCAGGTTTTACTATGTATCTAGAAAAACAAAAATGACTCATAGTTTGAAATAAAAAACGACTCATCTTTAAATTAGAAGGCGGGCCTGGTGCAAGTGGTAGAGTCTTACCGCCTGTGACCGGAAGATCCCGGATTCGAGTCATGGTCTCCTCGCATTGCACAGGCGAGGGTAAGGCTTGCCACTGACACCCTTCACCAGACCCCGCACAGAGCGGGAGCTCTCTGCACCGGGTACGTCCTTTTAATTTGCATCTTTAAATTTTGAAATCTGTCATATGTCTCTCATTTTGTCTTTCGTCATAGTTTGACTGACCATGATTATGCATTCATGTGTTATTTTCTTAGTTCACTAAATTATCTGCATATATTTTGTCACCTCTAGGAAATTAAGAACATAGTAATAGTAAGAAACATATGCAGAATTAGTATTTCTGTGACCAAGAGCCATCTATGATGTATACTCTTTTTTTATAAAAAAAATGACTGTAAAACTGGCTTGTGATCACCAGTTTTGTATATTGATATTGCAGAAATGAAACCTAGCATTTACAAAGTTAAAAAGGAAAGGCATAAGCTAAAAACTAATTACAGGCTGTGCACTAGGGCTTCCCAAGACTTTTGCTCCCACAATGCACCAAGCTCGTGCTTCTTCCTTAATCATGCGGACGATGGTATTCGGCGGGCTGTCACCTCTGGAAAATTCACAATGCACCAGGATCTCTATTTTAGCATGATATATTCTTATGGAGTCATCTAGAAATATACTTTTTAATTGCGGAATGTGTACCTGATGGAAATCCAAAGGTTGAAGGGTTTTGGAATGACATGCTAAATTTGCAATCTCCTCTGTTCTGTCTAGGGCTCGGCTTAGTAATGCGCAGGAAGTAACCTGACTGCCATGAACTGCTTCAGTGGTGTCAGAACTTAGTATGTTGCTGAACTAGTTGTGCAATGCAGGGACTGCATCGTTTCCTATTCTGCTGAATTGATCACCGTGATCATCGTCTGAAATGTAAAGCCGGCGAGGCATTAGCAGAGTTGACCGTGTCAATGTAAGGTGGGTTAATCATGCCCTGGATTGCTGTCGGATGCTGATTTCCAAGATCTGGTGGAAAGGGCTGTTGTGGTCAAGGTACCCCATTTCGCCAATACTGGGTACTGCCTGGGCTTGTACAGTAGCTTGTTCTCTGTTTTTTCTCGTGCTTGTACAGTGCACGTCTGGTTCGCTTCTAAAAAAACGTTTGAATACTAGCTGTGTTTCGAACTTTCGATTGTCATTAGTTAAAATAGTCTGTTTTTTCTTTTCCTTAGGCAACAGACCGGAGAACCTTGTTGGGTTTATTCTGATTAGGCAGAAGAACGGGATTTTCAATTGTCGGATAGTTTGTTCATCTTTTCCTTATGCAACGGCCGGAGAACCTTGTTGGGCTGTCCTGGTTAGGCAGAAGAACTTCTGACTTTGATGGGCGTTTGATAAAAAAAGGTTACAAAATAAAATAAAAAACCGCAGTTGCCGGGGATCGAACCCGGGTCGCCCGCTGTGACAGGCGGGAATACTCACCACTATACTAGAACTATAGATGGCCAACGGGCCAGCCCGGCACGGGCCCGTGCCAGGCACGGGCCCGTGCCAGGCACGGGCCGATGGGGGTCGGGCCGGCACGACACGTCGTGCCTCCCGGGCCGTGCCAAAGCAGGCCTCGTCCCTAGCAGCGGCCCAGGCACGGCCTGCCGGGCCGATTTTCGGGCTGGGCTGGCCCAAAAAGCACGGTCCGCGGCATGGGTCGGCCCAGCCCGCAGCCCGAAACAGGTGAGAGAGAGAGGGGGGGAAGGGGAGGGTGCCGCTCGAGCTGGATTCGGAGGAGGAGGCCGACGCCATCGAGCTTGATTCGGAGGAGGCGAGGAGGAGCGGCTCGAGGCCTTCACCGCGCTCGACGCTGCCGCGCTGGAAGAGCACCGAGGTCGGCCGGTAGAAGCGAGGTCGGCCAGTGGTGCGTGGGGTGATGCAACTGGAAGAGACGCCTACGTGCTCGACAGTGTTGAGGAGACGTCGCCGCGAGGGTGGTGTGGAGGAGGTGGCTGGTGCTGCCGAGTGCGGGGCCGTGACGCACGAGCGGGCCCGGGGGGCGAGGAGTCGCGTGACACGACTCGCGACCGCAAGAATCCAGAGGGTGTGCGGCGGCGGGGTGCGGTGTGCCGCGTGCGGGGATAGGAGAGTGGGAAATGAAGTTAGGGTTAGGGAATAGGAGGGGGAGTGGTTGGGCTGTTAGCAGGCTGCAATAGCGTGGTGGGCTGTTACCAGGCTGTAGTAGTCACCGGGCCAACTTCGTGCCTACCTGTAATTTCGGGCCGGGCCGGGCCACCCAGCTTGCCTGAGTAGTGGCCTAGGCACTGCCCTAGGCATCGGGCCAGGCTGGCCCGGGCCCGTGAAACACCATGCCGTGTCGTGCTCGTGCTAGGCCAAAATAGCGGCCTTCATGCCGTGCCAAAGGGCTGCGGGCTGCATGCAGGTGTGAAGCTATGAAGGCTGTGGGGGGTGCCAATGCACCCACGGCAAAAAGAAAATTAAGTGCTAAACACATGCACCCCCCTCAATCCTGTGTCATGCACCCCCACGGTGCAACATCTAAGTGTGAAAGCTTGACTCCTCTAGCAAACCAATACAAGCCATTCATGGGCCTAGTGCCAATAAACCTGACCATGCCTGGAGCAAGGGCAGACCAAATCCTGCATGTATAACGTATTTAGGCGTAGGACCATAACTCTAGAAGCCCATGATTCATTGTATAATTTGTTTATTATTATTATATACTATTCGTTGATGCATGCTTCCTGCACCCTCTCATTTTTTTTAGTTTGTTGCACAAGCTAAGTACTACTCCTTGTTTCTATATATACTTTAAGTATTTATGACATTTCTTCCAAACAAAACACCTAAACTTGCAATTATTGCTTGCTTGCTAATTGTCTTTGTAGTAGAAATAGAAATAACCGGATGTTCAGATTTGTTATGGGAAGATTTTTTTTCAGCAGGGGTATAGATAGGATGGATGCCAAGTACATATAAGAATAAGAAAAATGAGGCTCATCTTTCATTATTTCATAATTAGGAGCTCTGATTTTTTTAGATAATTTGGGAGATGCAGTTATATAGGTTTGATTTATCGAACTAAAGGGTTTAATAAGACTTTAGGGTTTAAAATTAGTTGACCATGGTAGTATGTCATTTGAATTACTAATGTTATCGAATTAAGTGGCAAATAATCGATAGTAATTTCCTATACCGAAGTTTGATTACCCGGCCTATTGTAGTATATTTGTTGATTTTGCATAGCTCTCTCTATTTTTATATATAATTTTGTAGAATCGTGTATATTACCTTAGAAAAATCAAACTTTATCTCGTAAATATTGCATATCAAGGTTAAGACTCTGTTTGGTGGAGCTGGGGTCAACTCCTCTGTACATTATACTAGTATAAGGGCTGCATCCCCCTCATTTTACCTCTAGCTTCACCACTGGTTGCATGGACATCTAAAACTACAACGACTTGGTTGATCCGTTGTTTTTCTAAGGCCTATCTACACGTGTTAGTTTTCAAAAGCATTTACAGTCTTGCTAATTTTGGAATCGCGCGAATCTAGCACGAGTTTTTCAAGACGGGCGAGCTCTTCAGCTGCCGGCAGCGTCGGTCAAGTGCAATGTGCCTTGCGTGCTCCCATAGTCTGTGTCATCCCAAGTGCAGATTTTGGCTGGCTTAAGTAAAATGCGCGTGTGCCGTGTGAGCTTGTGCAGTTGTGCGTGAGTTCTAGATACTACCAGCTTGTACTCGATCAATTGAGGGCGTAAGAAAATCATGCACCATCACACCGACAAGGTGCGAGTATGACATGGTAATTTGGAAACCTCCTATGGTCTAGGGTCTCAGCTTTCTTATGAGATACTTACAAAGTTACAAATAAGCAGGAAGTAACCTGACTGCCATGAACTGATTCAGTGGTGTCGGATCTTAGGGGTGTTTGTTTTCTTCTACTAAACTTTAGTCGCTGTCTCATCGGATGTTTAGATACATACATAGATTATTAAATATAGACTAATTACGAAACTAATTGCACAGCTTGCGACTAATTTGCGAGATGAATCTTTTAAACCTAATTAGCCCATGATTTGACAATGTAGTGCTACAGTAAATATGTGCTGATGACGGATTAATTAGGCTTAATAAATTCGTCTCGTGAAGTACTGACGGGTTCTGTAATTTGTTTTTTTATTAGTATCCGAACACCCCATGCAACACCCTCATGTGACACTTTCTAAATTTTAGTCACCGGATTCAAACACTCTCTTAGTATGTTTGCTGAACTAATTGTGCAATGCTGGGACTGACAGAGCATGCTCGTTTGGCTGTGGCTTGTCGTAAACGATCATAAATTTTCAGCCGGAACAGTATTTTTCTCTCACACAAATCACACACAAATCAGTCAGCAGTACTTCTTCATGAATCAACAACAAAACGAACCAGCCAACCGAAGAGACTGTATTGTTTATGTTCTAATTGCGCGCCATGATCATCGTCTGAAATGGGAAGTCTGTGAGGGCATTTGCTGGGTTGACCGTGTCAGCATAAGGTGGGTGAACGCTGCCCCTGTACCTGTAGTGCTGTTCGGTGCTGATATTCCCCAGCTAATTCCAAGGGGTGTATAGCTTATAAGCTGCTTATAGTCAAAATAAGCTGAAATCTATAGCTAAACGTTATATTTTTCAGCAGCTTATTCTGGTCATACTTATTTTCACAGCTCTCATTTATACTTAAAAAGCAGAAACTAAATCAGACTAACTTATTTTAACCATAGCTTTTACTCTATTTGTGCAGCTTCTGGGAAGCGTTTTCCAGATAAGCAGCAAACGTAGCCAAGGTCTGGTGGAAAAGGGATGCCCTTGTCCGGGTAAGAACTAGCAGTCATAGAATTTGTTTAAAAAAAAAGAGCTAGCAGTCGTAGGAATTAATCTATTATGAGAATGGACCTTTACGTGTAAAGGTTCAAGTGATTCTGCTGCATCTTTGTTGGTTTGATGATCAAGGGCTGCCAATGAGTAAAGAAAAGGTTAAAAAGCCAAAAAAATAAAAAAAAACGCCGTTGCCGGGGATCGAACCCGGGTCACCCGCGTGACAGGCGGGAATACTCACCACTATACTACAACGACTTTGCTGTGTGATGACATGAACTAATTAATCTTATTATTTGATCCAGTATCAATGTGCTTGTGCTACTCCCTCCCTACCCGGTTCGGCTCGCTGAATTTTAGCTAAAACTGGCTGAAAAATACTATTCTTGCTGAATTGTTGTGAGAGAAAAATACTGTTCCGGCTGAAAAAAGAAACCGGCTAAGCCAAACGGGGCCACGATTTGCGTGCCGATAACTTTGACTCGATTTATAGAAAATACGTGCAATATTTCTATCTCCAAATAAATTTATTAAAAAAACTAGATTCAAATATCTATCCATTGATACTAATTATGTATCATAAATATTAATATTTTTTAATATATATTTAGTCAAAGTTGCTTCTCGGGAAGCGAAAACGACGTACATTCAGGGACCAAGGGAGGAGTATACGGACTCAAATGCGAGTTTCAGCTGCTGCCACCGTCGGTGAAATGCAATGTGGCTTTCGTGCTCCCTCTCTCATCCCAATTGCAGAATCTTCGTTGGCTCAAGTCAAACACCGACGTACTTTAAAGGGAGAAAAGTCAAACGCCGACGACGTGTGACCGTGCGATATGCGTACAATACAAAACAAGAGGCGTCATGGTCCGCATGATAAGTCGTTGACAACCACCATCCTCACTCACGGCGCTCCACGTCCACCCTCACATAAATACACAAATCTCCTGTGTAGCATCAAAAAAGATTGAGCGGAGCATCCAGCAGAAGAACCGCGACCGGCGCCGAACCGTGGATTTCGCTCACACAAACTGGGAGGAAAAGGGCATTCGGTGCGTGGCGAAAGCATGGGCCAGTCTCTGATGAAGCTCTTCTTGGACAACTCCCGCCACCGGCCCCATTCGCTTGTGTTATAATCCATATTTTTCAGCTTGTTTTTTAGCCGGAACAGTGTTTTTTTTTCCTAACAAATCAGCCGGAACAGTGTTTCGGTTTGTTTTTCAGCGAAACGAACGGGGCCTCCGGATTCTTCCTTTTCCGGTCTTTCAGTTGCTCTCGTCCTGCTATTGTAGGTTGTGATGCTTGGGCTGGACGCCGCCGGCAAAACGACGATCCTGCACCGGCTGCACGTCGGCGAAGTTCTGTCGACGGTGCCGACAATCGGTATACAATCTCAACTCTCAAGCTACGTTGATCCTAGTACATATCCTATATGGTAGCATTGAGGTATTGCGTGAATTATAGTTTTTGTTGCTGTAGGTTTCAACGTGGAGAAAGTTAATGTGGCCTTCACGGTGTGGGACGTTGGAGGGCAGGACAAGCTGCGGCCGCTCTGGAGGCACTACTTGAGCAACTCGGACGCCTTGGTATTTTCAGTTTCCACATCTCCTGTGTTCTATACAGCCATTCGCGTGGACGCGTCATGCTGAACAGCTCAAGCTGTTACCTGCTTTTGTATCTGTCGTCGCAGATATACGTTGTTGATTCGACGGACAGGGACCGGATTGGGGTTGCCAGGGAGGAGTTCCAGGCAATCGTCAAGGACCCGCTCATGCTCAGCAGCATTCTTCTCGTGCTCGCCAACAAGCAGGATATGGTAATCATCAGTGACTCATCCAAAGCAAACCGAGGCAGACAACGCCTCTCATCTGTGTTCGGTGTTCCTTTTTCTTCGCAGAAAGGCGCGATGAGACCCTCCGAAGTGGAAAAAAATTGGGTGAGCGACGGGTCCATTAAACCACCCATGCGCCCCTAGGCTGGATCATCGACACGTGGCGAAGATAACAAATCAAGCGCTCAACATGGTGCTACGCGAGGAGCCGAGACATGCGGGGGAGGAGTCGACGCACGTTGATTAGTTTTCCTCGCCACGCGTCAGTGATCTAACGTATGGGCGCGGTGGTTCAGTGGACCCGTCGCCCACACAATTTTTTTTCGACGAAGTGGGGCAGCGCCTGTGCCTGTACGACCTCTAGAACAGGACGTCGCGTGCCGTGGGGGCCTGCGCGCTCACCGGCGAGGGTCTGCACGAGGGGCTCGGTTGGCTGGCAGCGACCCTTCTAGTTCTAGGCCATTTTTTTCCCCCAGGCGTATCACCATTTCCGGCGAATAGGCAGGCCATTTTGTCGAATTGAGTCTGTCGTTTGGCTTAAATACATGCTTTTGGAAAGGAACGAAAAAAAAGGGCTGCGGGTGAGTGCCTCAAATGCTCAATGACGCGAGGTTGAGGTTTCTCTACAGAACACTGAAACCAGATGTCCAACAACCACAACACGATGAATGAAAATATTTAAATCTGATATGGAAGTGAAGAAAGAATGCATCAGCTTATACAATCATATTCCAGGCTTCAAATCTATTCAAGCAACAAAGTGGCAGCATCACAACAGTACCTTCCGTGTGACTAAATCATAATCGTTTTGCATAACTGTAACTGAAACAATACAGTACAAATCTCAAGCATCGTCAATATGGAAACAACATGTCTGAGAACATCCCGAATAAGCTGTGTGAAATAATAGAACGCGGGAATAAGGTCCAGCCTTCTCCAGAATCTTAACCGATTATCGTCCATGTTCTGCAACCATATAGAAACACGAGCTTCAAAAATAAGGTCTTCATGGGCGGCGGAATCTGGGAATCTCCTGCATCAACAAAAACAAACCAAAGGAAATGATCAACATTCTGCTCTTCTTGTTTTAAGAGAGTCAAATGCCAGCATAGCTGAGCAAACAAGTAAACAACTCACCCATAGCCATAAGGACTATAACCATATGGCCTCATGTAGGGGTGGCCATGGTAGGGATTGAAACCTCGACCGCGGGGTTGCTTCATCCCAGGAACGTTAGTCCTCTTTGGTGCCACCTGATGAGAAAACAAGGTAGTAATGTCAACATGCCACCATCTGCCCGATGAGTACAGGGATGGGTGCAAAATGGGTATAAAGCGCCCATCGGATGTTGATGCTCTTAGTAAAAGCAAAAAATACCAAGATTCACACCTTGAGTTGGCGACCATGCAATTCTGATTCGTTCAACTTAATAGCTTCCTGAACAGCTTCAACTTCAACAAATTCCACATAAGCAAAACCTTTTGGTTGCCCAAACTTGTCAGTCAGGATTGTCACTCTGTTAACGGTTCCACAAGAATTGAAGTGCTGCTGCACTTCTTCTGGAGTGCATGCATAGTCAACCTGCAGTTGCAATTACACCGAAGTTGAGCGGACTTGTAATGTTACATATTTCAATAACCAAACAGCTGACAAAAAGACATATATACAATAAAACTTCGAACCTAAATTTTTGCAGACAATACATAATTCATTTGAAACAACTAATAATATGTCAGTGCATTAATAAGCTGTCTCTGTTCACATGGACGAAAATAGTATTGGAGTCAGCTGCTCCAAATATCATATGAGAGATTAGCTGAACCAGAGTCCAGAGCTAACTAGAATTTGTAAAGATGCATCAGTTTGATTATAAAACACATGCTTTATTAACTTCCTATGTCTGTATATATGCTACAGTTCTAAAGCTGCTCAATCAGGTTTTAGTGACACAAAGTATGTTCCAACTAGGATACTCAGCAGTCCCTCAAATTGCTTAAATGATGCTCAAAGGTGGTTACAAAGTTAACAAATTAATGAATCCACATTACCACTGGCCACTGAACAACAAAGCAAGTTCGTATCAAAATTACCAGTTCAATTTAAGGGCATCAAAAGTTAATGTTCAATAATTTTCGCTAAAGTACACATCTACTTTGCATCTTCCAGAATATAGCTGAACTAAATGAATTAATGCAACATGTCAGAAACATGTGTAATGTGTTGCCCTCAAAAATGAAATACGTATTTACTTACACCAGCTGAAAGTTGATGGGTCCAGAGCATGATAAACATATAGGTTGTGCATTCATAAAACAAGCTAAATTACAACCAGACCAGTTACATTGTCAATATACACCATAAACATAATATACAATGACTAAAAAGCAACATAGTCCATTACTAGCACTAGACTCTAGTATATATCTATCAATACGGATATCTATCTTCTCCAATACATGACATTTTTATGGCATGATAAGGAGTGTCAATAGGGTAAAATTTCCTAGAATCCAATTGATCAAATTATTAACCACACATCAAGGAAAGTATTTGCCGTGCCTGCAATGACGGTGCCTGCAATGACGGATTCATCTATTGTAACACACTGAGGCAGGTTATTGATATGATTTAACAATCTACTATGTCTATACTTTATACTATGCCACGCAGTAAACATGCCAAGAAATAAAATGGATACTTTAGGGATTGTAGGGAACTAGGGACAAGAGAATATTGGAAAATCAACTAATGGATGATTAGTGATTACTGGACAGTAAGGTGCCAAATAAAAATTGCTTCAGTGTGAAAGAGGATTAATGAAATAGATAAATTGCAATAGATGTCAAGTGTCAGATAACAGGGGGAACATCTACAGAAACATATAACAATCTCAATACACTCAGCAGAAATGAGGTCAAACTTACATGCCATGGCTAATGATATCATTCCACATCAGTAACACGAATGTGCCTGACGCATTCTCTGCTGGCTACCCTGGGGGATAATTCCTAGCCTATGACATCATTTCTCTCTTTTTTTCATTTTTTCTATACTTTTTTTACTTTTTTCAAATCGTTTTTTCTATTTTTCCTTTCTTTTTTCAAGAACTTCTTTCTTGGATTTTTTTCCTTTCCCCCACTAAGCTAACACTAGAACTTGTGCTGAGACTGAACCAGATGCCAAAACTTTGATAGAAAGGCTTGATGACAGCAGACTAACCTGCGACCATTGGCATTGTTCAATCAACACAAAGGTGAAAAAAATAGAAAATATGATAAGAATAGGACCATATGTGCACTAGTTCAATGAAATAGAATGGAACTTTTACTAATGAACTGCAAACTAATACAATCCACATAGAAATTGGATTTCTAGTGGAGCATGGCCAAATAAACATACTATCTACTGGAAAATGACAATCAATATTTTATTAACCCCCCGCATCCCCCCACCAAATAATATCATATATCCATTGAAGTATACATAAGTCCCCTTAATTTGCTTAAAAAGGAGATAAAACTTACATTTCCAATGAATACCGACCGAGAATCCATCTCCTCTTTGTTTTCAGATGTGGTTGCATTGGGATCTACACCTACAGAAAAAGATCAATGATTGGTTGTGTTAGAGAAATAACAAATGAATGATTACATAGTTATATTACAGCATGCAATCAAACCAAGGCTAAAAGCTTGCCGCCCATTTGGATAGAGGGGGGATTGGGATCCAAATCTATAGGATTGCCTACAATCCTAAAAACATCAACCAAGTGCCCATTTTACTCTCCCAAACATGCCCCTACATGTATGGACAAGCTAAAAAGTTCAGCTAAAACACAAAGGTTAAGTTATTCAACAGAATAAAAGGCCCAATAAACAAAGAGGGGATACCGATCCAAAGTTCAAAAAGGCGCTAGGCGGTTTCTAGGCGACGACCCATGGCATAGAGCCTAGGCGTTTCAAGGCGTTTTTCTAGTCGTTTTATACAAATACATATATTACATCTAAAAGAAAAAAATAAAGCAGAACAGTGGGCTTATAGATGGGAAAAAAGGCCCATCAAAGAGTCGAGCTCAACTTTCCCCACTCCAACTCCAACCTTATCCGCTGGCTCCTCCCAATTCTAGCCGCACGCCCGCCGCTGCCGCCTCTGCTCGCGCTCGTAGCACCGGGCGCGCCTCCTCTGCTCGAGCTCGTCGCGCGCCTCCTCTGCCTCCACCTGCCGGCCGTGCTCGTCGCCAGGCACCTCTCTCCTCCCGGTTGCGCTTGTTGCCAGGCGCCTTTGCCTCTCCTCCCAGCCGCCGCCCGCCCTCCTCCCGGCCACCGCCTGCTGGCTCCCCCCCCCTCCCTTCCCGGCTGCGCTCGACGCCTCAGCTGGCACCCGCCATCACTCAGCGGCTCTGGATCTGGTGGGGACGCCGCCTAACCTCCGCGTACCCCCTTAGGCGAGGCGGTGACCCTCCGCCTAGCGTTGAAGCGCGCCCAGGCGAGCGTCTAACAGCGCCTTTTTGAACTTTGTACCGATCACAAACTAAGCTTTCCAGCTCCTAGGATACAGGGTGACAACGATAACATAGTGGGTTTCACACTGGGTGTAGTTGAACATGACGGAAACAGAGGATAGGAAAGAGAGATGTAGGCCATAATCACCCATCCCACACCAAATCTACCAAAACAAACTACTACCCCAACCTGTAATAGCATTACCTGTACAATTGCGAATCAAAATCAGGTGCTGCACTTACATCCACAGTTCAACACAGCAACTAATCATCGTAAGCAACTAGTCCAATCTAAAGAACAACCAAATGGCTTCTATTGCAATCAGCAAACACTCATTGATAAAAGATGCAAGTTAATTAAAACAAATTTCCCAACCACCCTACTATAGACGAACTCACGAACAATTGTAGTGTCGACACATCAACAGAAACAGTGACCACAGCACATCATATAGCTTCAAGATCCAACTCGAATTCCCAACTACTGCTAAGTAGCTGCAAGCCAACGCAAATGTTTTGCGCAACGACCCTACTTGAGATACAGATCTCTAATAACTAACACGGAAAAGCTGCGCGCACGGGATAGAGGGATTCCGAACCTTGCATCTCCTTGGCGACCTTGGCCTGCATCTCGCGGAGCGCGGCGGCCTCCTCCTCCATCTCCTTGAGCCGGCGCTTCATCTCGTCGAGCTCCTGCAGCTGCGCACGCGACGGGGTCAGTACCGCCGCTAGGGTTTGGGCGACGAAGAAGCGGCGGCGGCGGAAGGTGAAGGGGTGCCGAGCGGTACCTTGGTGGCGTCGTCGCCGGCAGCCATGTCGACGTCCTCGCCGTCGACGGGGATCTCCTGGCCGTACACCTCGTGCTCCTCGTCCTCCATGGCCGCAGGGCGCCGCGTGCTAACCTCGGCTGCTAGGGGTGACCAGATGCGGTCCGCGAATCCGGTTTCGGTCGGGATAGCCGATTAGGGAAATGACTGGGCCTGGCAGGTTTATATATATAGGCTTAGATAGCGTGTCGGACCAGGATGGGATGGTGCTGGGGTGTAGTTGGGCTTTCTTGGCCCATCACGTTCTTCAGTCCGTTTCTCGATCTGTTTGGGCTCGTCTTCAGGCCCGGAAATGTTGGCTGTAGCTAGAGGCCGCAATTGCGAAGGACTCCTGACAGTACCATACTCATTTTTCCTCTGCAGAGTCTGCATGATTCGTGTGTGTTATAATAATAACACTGATATACTAGTGGTAAATATTTATTTATATTTAGGAAAATGGAAATGCTCTAACCCGAGCGTCCAATGCAGAGGCGGAGCCAGGATTTGACATTAAGAGGGCCGTGCAAACCGGCAACAATCATGTGTTAAAATACATACACGACAAAGATATACATAACATCCAAATAAACATTTATGTTATGATAAAAAGAAGCTGAAAAACTAAAAAAATGAAGGAACATATTTAATTAGCATTTGGTCTCTAACGGTCACCTGATCAATCTAATTCTTTGGCTAGGAAAAGAATCACGGTAACAACAAGTAGTAGGATGGGGCAAAATTAGTTTACCCTTCGCGTCTCGCTCTACTAGAGTTGCTTTTCGTGCCTTCCGCGGGACGAGCACAATGCCCCTCACAAAGCTCTTCTCTGGAGCACCGCACAAGCTTCTTGCGGGCTTCGACGGAGACCATCACCAAGCCGTCTAGAAGGTGGCAACCTCTAAGAGTAACAAGTACCACCGGCTTGCAACTCGATCACCTAGTGCCACTCGATGCAACCTCACGATGCAATCACACTAGAATCGCTCACTCACTCGATCGGATAAACACTATCAAGCTAGAGTGAGTTAGATGGCTCCCAAGCACCACCACATAAGCCACCAAGGCTCTAGTGTTCTGAGCTCCACTAAGCTATCGGCTAAAGGCCGACCAACACTTATATTTATAGTCCCACTGTCTAAAATAGCCGTTACCCCTTCACTGGGCATTTTTCGGGACGACTGGACGCGCCGGTCGGATCGACCTGACGCACCCTGCCAGCGTCCGATCGCGCTACGCCGTCCATGTGTCACTCTACGTTCAACCGGAGCCGCTCGATCTCAATGGTTAAGTTGCAACCGAATGCGCACCGCGAGGATGGCCGGGCGCTGCTACGCCTGAGTCCGGTCATTTCCAGAGAGCTCCCCGAGCCTCTATTTTGCGACCGAACGCGTCCGCTCCTGCACGACCGGACGCAAACCAGCCAGAGTCTGGTCATTTCCAGAGAGCTTCCCGAGCCTCTGTTTTGCGACCGGACACGTCAGGTCAGTCACGATCGGACGCAGAACCCGAGTTCGGTCGTTCTCTGACTGCCACGCGTCACTGCTGTTCCTCACGCCACCATGTTAGCGTACGTCAGTACTGACCGGACGTGGCTCCTGCACGTCGGGTCACTCTTTGCGCCAGCGTCCTATCACAAGACCAAGACCGCGCGCTCTCAGCTGCCATTGACCGGACACGCCGGTCCTACCGAGGCCAGCGTCCAGTCACTCAAAGTGACACCTTCTCGCCTCTGTTTCTTCACCGAGTTGATCCACATCAACTCTAACTTCTTCTCCTTTGCAAAAGTGCCAACACCACCAAGTGTACACCACCATGTGTATGTGTGTTAGCTTTTCACAAACATTTTTCAAAGGATTAGCCACTCAACCTGCCACACCACTCGATCCTAGCAACGATGCAAAGTTAGATCACTCGAGTGGCACTAGATGACCGATATGCAAACAAATTTGCCCCTCTTAATAGTACGGCCATCTATCCTAAATCCAGTCATAAACTTCTCTACACATCTATGACCGGTGAAATGAAATATCATAGGTTATACCTTTGCCTTGCGCATTCCATTCCATCTCCTCCATTATTGATGCAACACATGCACCAACCAATCATCAAATGATATGATCCACTTCATATCATCACATGCCCGTATTGGTTCATCAATCTTGACTTCACTTGCTTTTCACCGTTGCCTTCGTCCATCAGTGCCAAGTCTTGCTCAAGCTTCACTGCCACGCGGTCCATCACTCCAAAGCCTCTGACTTGCCCTTCACGCTTGCAACCGTTCCATCAAGCCAAGTCATGTCTTGATCTTCTCCACCTTGATCACATGACTCCATGTCATGTCTCATGTGCAATAAGCTCTTTCATCATCACATGTGTGAGCTTTGCAACATCTTTGAGCCATCATCACCGTCATGGCATATGTTGCTCACACACATGTACCTATGGACTAAACATAGGTATCTCACTTAAACACATTAGTTCACCTAAGGTTGTCACTCTATTATCAAAACCAAACAAGGACCTTTCAGTCTCCCCATTTTTAGTAATTGATGACAACTCTACAAAGATATGGGAAATAAGCTCATTTCAAGCTAGCATTTCACACAAGTGTAATTTGCCAACTTGATTTGGATTTTATACCACTTATATAGCATTTAAGCTCTATATTAAGATTTAGATAAGCATCATAAAACCTAACTTGGTAGTGATATCTCCCCCTATATGTGTGCTCAAATAATTTGGTTTCAAGTTTGCACACATGCATAAATATAAAAATTATGGGAGTGTTATCACTACTAAGTGATGCTAAGGTGTATAGAATAACCTTTGAAGTGTGATACCAATCGGAGTTGCACTGTTAACGCCATCCTTAGCATCATGAGTAGCTAGACAACAAAAACACTAGAAACCCTGTGAGATCAACATTATAAGCAAGGTTCTAGTACCACATGTAAAAATATGAGTCTAGCTACCATCCGATATATGCTAGTTATCAAACCATCATTCAAATTCTACAGCTAGCATACACCACACAAGCATGCATATTGAATTTAAAGGCTTATGCAATGCAAGCAAGCACATGAATATGCATATATCAAATGCAATCGATCAAAGTTCATGAGTTTGCTCCCCCTACTTGTGTGCTTCTCTTGTCCAAAAATTTTGATCCTTCTCAATTCCTCAATGTTGCTCCCTCTTTGTCCATGTCCATGTCTAACCTCTACTTCTTTGTCTCAATCTCTCCCAAAGCTTTCATATCTTTTTACAATCTGTTTCTCTTTGTCATCAATTTCCATAAAAGGTGTGCTTCTCATTGATGCAAAATGTTGCATTGGGGTAGATGGTTGACACTTGAATCTTGCATTTTTTATGGACATCACTTGATTATTGGAACGACACCATTTGTATAGCTTCTTGAGATACCGCACATAGGATCTTTGACTTTGATACCAATTTGTGGGACACCTCCCCCTATGTCATAGCATGGGTCATCCATTTGATAAACTTGAGCTCTTGTATGTGAGGGATACATTCTTTATTTGATGATCACTTAAAGTTGGGGATCACTTGTGGAAATATCGTTTTGCATGATTAATACCACGTGTAGATGTGATACTACTTGAAAGAATTTTCTAGTATAGAACCACTTGTTGGATTTATCAATAAAAACCATTTCTTGAACCTTTGCTATCTTCATGAGTACCACTTATAGGATATCACTTGTGAGTTAATCTAGACATCACTTTTGAATTCTTGATGAAATACTTGAGTCTAGATACCACTTAAAACAAACAAACTAGATATCCATTTACATTGTTGTCTTGTGCTTGTACTCTTATCACTATCATGAGCTTCTATGGTTGACTTAAACTAAATTGATTTTCCTAAGCTTCCAAGTCCGGTTTGAACCAATAACAAACTTCTTCACACCTCTTACAAGGGTTATCTTGCCAATGTTGTACTTGTCACTTGTTAGCAATCTAAATTAAATCAAGTACTTGGGTTCACTAGCTCATGAACAAATTTATATACTAACCACTAGATCAACTAATCATTCAAGCAATAGTGGTAGGCTATGAATTTAAACATTTCATTTGTTATGCATGATCCTATGAAGCATGTACTATATGCACTAATCGCATACTAGTAAAAGGTGAAATGATCATGCACATTACAATGATATCTTTGCTATGTTGGAGTAGAGGATAGTCACATAGATTCTAATTCATTACTCTAATAGCAATGTGAAGTCCAATTATAAGCTTGTTGAAGACCAAAAGATACCATTTTGAATTCCATTCTTCACCCATATGAAATGAATACCACTTATGATCAAGTGCACTATCTTGTTGTGGTTAGCTTGCTTCATCTTTTGATCAATGCTTACATGAGAGAACTATTTAGAATACCACTTGAATTGCCATGACTAGCTCTCTTTTGGGTGTTGCTTGCTTTCCTTGATCAACTCTTTTGATTGCTTCAACTAAGCATCTCAAATGTCCCTCGGATCACCACTTCCATGTTAGCCTTCCAAGTACCATACTTGGTTTACCTACACATAGGCGACGAGCCCCTACACTTAGGGAGAAGTGACCTCTCTCCAAAGAACCATTCTTGACACTCATTTGAAATAACTTGATTGATTGATCCAAGTGATAGACTTAACTTGATGAGTAACCTTGATTCCTTCTTTTAAGTCCTTTTCTCTCTACTTGTTTAAGTCATTTTCTTTCTACCAAATGATTTCCAATAGCCGTTAGAACTTACACTTAATCTTCATCTTAAGTTTGATCTTGATCTTCCAATTTGAGTACCAAATGTGTGCAAAGTACACTCCATAATCAAATTGCCTTGTACTCTTTGCTTGTCATGCTTCTAGATCATCTCAAAACCAAACTTAGGTGCCTCAATTACTTATAAATATGTTTCAACTTGAGGACCTTTCAATCAAAGTGACTCCAAATAAATCCAATAATTGTCACTTTTCTGGCAGATTCTGTACTCTTCAAAGAAAAATACATATCTCCCAAAGTACAAATCCAAATACCACGAAATTTGGTGGAGATGTG